CTTAACAGATGGGAAACCTTGACATCTGAAAACCAGACACTCCTTGACTGGGGCCAGGAAGGTGCAGATAGGAATGCTCTGGGGGCAGGCTAACTTGCTCTAGCAAAGATGTCTCCTTATTTCCATCTTCAAGAGTGCACAAGCCCATCCCTGTAGCATTCCAAACAGTGGGCTAAACAGCCCATGTAGTCAGCCTCTGAGTCACAGCCCTCTTGCCAAATTTGTTATATGAGAATTCAAAGTCTGGAGCCATCTTCTGGCTTTTGAAACAAGTATAGTGAGAAACCAGTGTTAACAAAATCTTACTCAAAGATGAATCATGAATAAAAAGATTCCTTTATGCAAGGCTATATCATTCAGAACACAGCCAAAGAGCCCGAAAAACCCACAACAACCATTAGATCCCGGCTGTGAAAGCCTTTGTGAATACATATATCATCCAGTGCTGATTTTCTGATATTAAAGGCTCCCTTCTCAGTCCTGGGGCTCCCAAAGACTTCCCAGGGACAAGAGGAGTACCGAGGGAGCCTAAAATCCTGGTGGACATAGTATTTGTATATGAAGCCCCCATCTATAAGCCGCCTAGAGTGGTCCTGATCCGACTAGATAGGCGGGATATAAATAAATAAAATAAATAAATAAATAATAAAAATTATATGCAATGACCATATCCTGGCAGGGGCGTGGAAACAACTAGTACACTCTCTGTCCCTGGAGATGTCTGATCTGGCCACAGAGACACATACCTTATATCCCAAATGATAAAACACTTCAGGTCAGGTTGCCTTTGAAAAGAGTTTGCAAACTGCGGTGGGTTCAGCATGCTCTGGACAAGACTGCTGGAAGGGGCTGATTACAGGAAACATTTAACCCCTTGTTATAATAGCTTCCCTGGCTACTGCTCTTTCTGGACACATTTTGAAGTGTGCTGTGATCAGGTTCTTCAAAAATTGGTGATGGTTCCCTCATTTTGGCGGGAATAAGAGACGGAGATGATTTTGAATGCTCAACTGGCTCAACTTTATTAACATCAACTTCCGAATTAACAAGATTAAATGGATTGAAACAACTCAATTCTGGAATCGTCTTATAACTTAAGATCTTTGCTCCCGGCGTAAATATATCACTTCTTACATTGGGGCTGGACCAAAGTGTTCGTGATTGGTTATCACCCTCAAGGGGCTGCACACACCGTCCCACAACAAGGGTGTCTTGCCCAGTCCCCTTCTGGAAGTGGATTGTTGAAAGAGGGACTGGGACGGATCACTTTCCTCCCCCCACCTTGGTTGCGAGGGTAAACCACAACGGTCCATTCTAGTGGTTTCACCCCTTTCCCTTCGCTTCTTGTTAAGCCTGGGTCTGGGAGTAATCTTCCTCCTGTCTTAAGGTTGGGGAAATCCCTCAATAAGTCACAGACCTTGTCAGACGCCTCATCATTCC